TTATGCAGCGATGGCGGCAACCCGCCCCATCTGCGTTGCCTTGGATCTTCAAACGATGATGTTGAACGGGCACCGGCTCATAGAGACCACTGCTGGTACAATCCTATGCCCTGACTGGCTGGCAAATCGGAACGTGATTTACGTGTATGACATGGAGTCACGGTGCTACGCCTTCGCGAACCATGTGTACGCACACTATCGAGGCATCATCACCGGTGAAACCAAAGCATTCCAGTCAGCACGCACTGGGGGACCAGTTGCCGATGACGATGAGATGGTGAAAAGTCCACTGGAAAAGTACACCTACGAGGTCCTTGGAGACTATGAGAGGTGGTGCGGTAAGGTGGACACCTTTTCCCCGTTCGTGTACGGTGAACTGTTTGAACGCCCAGGCGTGAAAGACCAAATGGTATCAGGAAAGAAGAATCCTGATTTAGAAACATACGAGGTCACGTATGTCGTTCGCAGGCCCAACTTCAACGCCTACAGGAATCAAGTGTCACCCAAAGAGATGCTGCCCAACTACAACCGACCACGGTTTGATTGGCGCAAGATCCACCCCGATGTCGAGGGGTATGGCAACACTCGATGGATGGTCGTTGAGGGCATTCAGATGCCAGAAGATCAGTGCCCAACATGCACACATACCTACACCCATGGCATGATGTCCTGCATAACATGCGGCACCTTCCTCAACAATGCCTCAGATCTGTGTAAAGCTGCCCAGCTCATTCGGATCGAGGAAATTGCATCCGATCTCGGTATCGAAGTCACGATGGACATGGTACCTGAGGACAGGCTGCAAGGAACAGGTGTGAGGAAGACGCCGGGGACGCCTGGCCATGAAGTTCAACGTGCTTCTCGTTCGGGCATCAACATCTTGAAAGCGAACGCCAAAAGCCATGTCCAGAAGGCGGAGAAAATGTCCATGACAGTATCGCAGCGACAGCTGGTTGACGCTTTCTACGCGTTCAACTGTGCGGCCCAGGACCTCTCTCCAATCTGCATTCAATTCCTGGAACGACTATCGGATGCCGTCATCCCTGACCCTCCGAGGACAAGGGAAATGATTGCTCGAGGCATCGGTCATCGCTATGCTGGGAAAGTCATCTTTATGAACGAACCAGCAAAAGGGAATGATGCTGACCTGAGCGAGGATTTCTTCATTTATTGGAAGAACAGGCTGCACCGACCTGAGACTTTCGCTGCAGACTATTGTCTAGGTGCAAAACGACCCGCAATTTTGGGATTTGGAGGTGAGTGGAGAAGTGAGAAGACAGACCCTGATGATGTTTTGGACGAACTCCTGGAATTCGTGATGGGCGATGCTCAATTTGTACCTGGAATGGACATCAACCTTGTGAAAGAAACAAGGGCACTTGTGATTCCCCAAGAGCTACACGTACTCAAGCCGAGACGTCAGAGCATCGCTGGCGAGGAGCTGCCGGAAGTGATCAATACCATGATTGGCAGCAGTCGTCCTCATCGTCTTCATGGTGGTCCTCATCCAACCGTAATTGGTGGCAAGATGATCGCGGTCGTGGTAGTGACTGGCGAGGACACGACTGGTGGAGTCAGCGCAGGTGGTGAACACGACGCACAGCGGGAGCTGTTGCCTGTGGAGAAGGGAGTGAAATCTACGGGTGACTCGGCTGTCTTTGTGCACTGTGTTTTTCCCTCAACGCACCGCGGGAGCGGTTGCCTGGATGACCGTTTCTGTGATGCACCGGGGGACCGGATGCCTGAAACCAGCAGCTAATTCGTTTGAGTTCAGGTCGATGAACTTGGCTCTCAATCCTTGCAATGAAAAGCGCACATCTTTTGTTGTGCTTTGTCGCCACGCGGGAGCGTGTGCCTTGATGGCTTTGTTCCTGCTTTCTAAAAGGTTGGGATTGCACTCCCAGTTCCGCTGCGCAAAAGAGGTTATCTTCGTGAGTTTGCGTTGAGCTTTCACGCATGAATCCAATGAGACATGTTCAACCCTAGCATCAAAACATGACAGTGCTTTATGTGATCCGTCCTTGAGGTCAACCATCCTCTCCATCTCAAGGCACGTTCCGGTTCGATGCTTCGCACGTACCGGGGGACCGGATACCTTCGTAGGTCCTTAATTAGTGCACTGTACATAACTTCACTCCTCCCATTTTCGTTCAGCGGGGGGTGTTGTTTCACGCTAGGATAACTAATACATGTCTCACTTACTTACCGTTTGGCTCAAGGAAAACCAGGTGCGACTTGTTGGTAGTTCTCGGTCGTTTACCTGTAACTACAGAACCGACCCAGCGACCAGGACATCTTGAATACCGAGGTTGCTTCATTTGTGGGAGCAAAAGATTCCCGCGGGCGTCCAAGCGAGCCAAAGCGGCCTCTTGCAAGCCCGCAAGGACCGGGGTCCTACTCAGCAGAAATACAATTTCTCTCGAACCACTGGACCAGACGTTCAAGAGCGCTTGCTACGGCAACCACCAGGCTATGCCGCCGGGGAGAGGATCGTTGAGCGGGAGAAACAAATTCGGCGTGTGGACGTTTTGCGGGCAATGCCGTCTGCGAACTGGACGTGACGATTGTGACGGAGGCCATCGACTTGGAGGAGGAACCGTTGTACCTGGAGAACCTGAACGTGAAGTCCATTGAAGTCCATTGGTCAGACCGGTGAGTCTCCTTGCAAGAAGCTTCGGGGGTTGGAGGCGAAGAAACGCAAGAACCCTCCGGATTCTCGTTTGACCTATGCCTATGAGAGTTGGACTCCCTGTGCCCGACCTTTCGAGCAAGTAGGAGTCAGAGAGATCAAGGAGATGATTATCAGGTGGAGACCCTGGATTGTATGGTTTTCTTTGCCATGTGGACCTTTTTCGCCCATCCAGGGGCTCTTTGCAGAAGAGCTTGGATAGAAAAAGTTCAAGAAGCTGATCAAGAACGGCTTGGACGTGGTTCTACGTTCTACATCAGCTCGAACAAGGCGGAGAAGTTGCGCGCGTGGGAATGGCCCACAAAAAGCCGTGGGAGGAATCTTCAACCAGTTTGTGCTTCTTGGAAGAATCACTCAGGACACCTTCATGTTTGCATGCTGGCGCGCAAGGAGTGCTCTCTGCCCATCCCATCTTCGACGCCCGCGACATGGACCTGGACCAGAAGGAAAAGAAGAAGAAAGCAGTTCAGTAGCGCCTCTTTCTGAAGCTGAGCGAAAGGCTTTCGAAAGGGTGTTGAGAAGATTCTCTAACGCCTGCGCAAGAAGACTGGACATCCATCGAATGCTGCCTTAAGTGGTTGGCTTGCGGCATCATGGCGCTCGCCCCGAGGTCATTGACATGGCTTCAAGACACCAATGGTTTGAGAGCTCAGAGCGGCGCCTCTGCATCATCGCTGGAGAAATCTGAGACATTGTGGGGGACCCTTGTGATGGACAACCTGGAGTTCACAGTGGAAAACACGACCTATCGCCACGCGGCCATGACCGATCGGGCCTCTAAATTGATCCTCTTTCTTAGCGTGCGCATGAAGACTCTCACAATGCAACCGCTGAAGAGGTCATCTATGGCCTGGAGGGTGACGCACTATGGGCTTCCAGGCAAAGTACGCCTTGACATGAATCAGGCCCAACAATCCTTCCGCAGGACAAGACCTTGACTTCGCGCAGGGTAAAACCGACCAGTGATTTGGATGATGACTCAGGTTTAGACCAGCAGCGGAAAAGGAGACTGGGCTACGTGTGTGCGCACGTAGACGACTTTTTGGTGTCAGGGAACGAGCAAGATCATGAGTGGGTGACAAAACTTAGACAGTTTTGGAGTCGGTTGTCACAATGGGAGCGCAGCAATTCACATTGTGGTCTGCAGATCGTTGAACAACAAGACTACAGTTTTGTTCTAGATCATTCAAAGTTCATTGCGAGCGTTGAGAAGATTGTCTTCCAGAACAGGGCAGACCATGAACCGGTGACGTCAGAGGATGTCACACAGCTTCATGGAGTGTTGCGCGCCTTTTGGGCAGCTACAGAGCGAGATCAACCCTTCGACCAGAATGATTTGTGGTGAAGCATTGGGCATGTGGTGTGGCTGTTGAGGGGACCGTGGTTCCCCCTTGTTTCATTGAGGTTGGGTACAGGTTCCAAACATTGTACAACAGGTGTGTACATTGCCTTTCATTGCGTATCACGTCAGCCCCGCTTTTGTGTCTAGCATTGTGTTGGCTGCCCCACTACCAGACTACCAATACTAACAGGCGTCCAACAAGGCACACTGCAGCAGAATTAAATCCAATGAAGCAGTGTTTGCTTTCTCTGTTCCAGGCCTGTCTAGTTCCACAAAACAAATGAATCAATGCCAAGGTTAACTCTTTTTCTCCGCCAGCTCCATACAATGGCCGCAATGAGACAGAGTTAGCTCTCCCTGGTGGGAACTTTTCTTTTTTCCTAGTTTCCCACAAGCAAACCCGAAGCAGCAACTCGGCAACAGGCTTGAATCAGACGTAAACTCTTCAGGTCTGTACGCGTTAGCCAAGGGCTGGAACAGAATTAGCTCTTGATGCAACTCTTTTGGCACCCTACGTTGCGCCAAAGGCGAGTGGGCAAGGATTGTTTACATACTTTTTGGCATGACACATGAATTCATTCTAACTTTTGAAGCCCGCCCCTTCGCGCTTGAAGCCAGCCCCTTCGCGATTGAAAAACCTGTCTGCCGAAGAATGCCTGCCGTAGGGCCGCCGTAGGGCGAAGGTCCACGTCCCAATACCCGGCAGAGAATCGCAGCCGCTCTGAAACAAAACTCACCATTGCGCCCATAAGTCTTTCAAGACCTTGGCAAATAGCTGTCGCCGAGAGTCATGCTCGACGCTGGGGCTGTTTTAGCTGGGCGAGAAGCATTCACACAAACAGTTTAGGTTCAGTTTATTGGTTTTTCTCGCTCACTATTGCGGCAACAAGAAAGGATATCTTTTTGCGCCAGCTGTTCCTGGCTTTTCTCCTCAATTGAATACCAAACCAACGTTGCCTCGGCGTCCAGGAGATGGCACGGCAGGCAGCAGAGATGCTCGGCAGGCGCCGGCGACATTGACGCAAAGCGCCTGCTAATCTTGGCATTTTTGAAGGCCTTACTTCCTTCCATGCCTAGCAGGACTCGGCGGTATTCTAGATCATTCTGTAAACATGGGTCAGCCTGAGCGAGCATTTTGCATCCCTCAGCACGGTTGAAGGGAAAACTCCTACTTGATATACTTGATGGGTTTTTGCTTCAGTTGAAAGACGTCTTTCTTTCAGCATGGGATGGTGGATTAGAAGTCCAACGGCCTGCAGCACAGGTAAAGGGCAAAGGGCCGATAATCATATGATAGAGGACCCTTTAGGTATTTTTTCGTTAGTTTCTATATGCAACACAACTACTTTAAAATTGAAGTTTGTCAGATTGAAATGTCATGCTAGGGATCACTCGAAGTAAGGGTAGTTGGAGTGACTGAGAGCAAGGGGTTGGAGAGGCATGATAAACACCCGCTCTATGAGGTAGGAAGATAATAACAATATTGAATGCAAAATGTTTGTCCGTGTGCGTGTCCGTATGTTGTGTGAGTGCACCATGCGCAATTAAACATGTGTTTTGTATGGCAACCGGCCAAGTTCAACCGACGAACGAAATGATCCCAAAAGGTCCCTGGATCATATGTATGTATGTATATATATATATATTATATAATAGTGTTGAATCGTGACCGTGCGCAGGGACATTTATGCCCAGGAGAAAATGGACCGGCCCGGGGCGTCGGTATCGTGCTGCCAACATTGGTAGCGGAGCCCGGTAAGAGACTGGGCTCCGGCGGGCTGGACGCTCGCTGGGTTTTGCGACCGTGCGCGTTCGTTCGTTGCCATGTCCGAATTGGGTGCAAGCCTCCGCTATTTTAGCGGCGAAGACTGCAACTACAGAGAATATCGACGCTGGAAACAGTGGTGCAAGAACAAGATGCGAGTGACAGAAAAGCTGTCAGCGGAGGCCCGAGGATCCTTCGTCTGGACCCTCCTTCAGGGTCGTGCACTGGAGGTGGTTGAGCACCTAAAAGAAGAAGAATACGGAGGAGAAGATGTGATCTTCGCGCTGCTTGACCGTCGCTGGCCCGAGAAGGACCGCACCGACGAGATTGGAGAGCATATCTCGGATGTGTTCAACTTGAAGTCCAAAGAAGGCGAGACAATTCGCCAGTGGTGCGCCCGGGCCCGGGAATGCTTTGATCGCTGCGCCCGCAAGACGGGCGTCGACTTCCCAGCTGAGGCTCGTGGATGGGTGCTTCTGAATGCCTCCGGCCTTTCGGAGGAGAATCGAGCTGTTGTCCTGGCCAGAGCTCAAGGCAACCTCAAGTTTGACGAGATGTCCCAAGCCATGCGATCCGTCTTCCCTGACTACGTGATCTCCAAGCGTAGAGTGGCTGCTGCACACGTTGTGGAAGAGTCAGCTGAGGTGGAACCTCCAGAGGAGGACTTCGCCGACGTCGAACTGTTCCTGGCCGAACACGGCCATGATGGCTATATGGTGCTACGCTGGATGATGGTGACGGCTTCGACGAGGCCGAGGCAGCTGAAGTGTTGGCCGCCACATGGCGGGAGCGTCGAGCTGAGTTGAACCAAGTCCAAAAAGGACGACGCTTCACAGCTGGAAAAGGGGAAAGTGGTCGCTCGATGGCTTCTTCGTCAGGCAAGGAAGTTCGTCGTTCGTTCCGAGTTCAAGTCGAAGAGTTGAAGCAACGAACACGTTGCCGGAAGTGCGGCAAGCTTGGACACTGGCAGAGAGAATGCCGATCTCAAGGAGCTGCTTCCTCGTCTACTCCATCGGCAACCGGTGCCGGAAGCCATGCTGCAGGAGCTGTGGAGCTAGTTGAGACAACAGAGCATTTCATTTGTACAGCTGCGCCGTGTGATGAGCCTCCAAGCTATGACATATGTTTGGTATAAGCTCTCCAGGATTTGCCATTCTGGATAGCGGCTGTGGCAAGACCATCGTAGGTCGTGAGACGCTCAATGCATTCCACCTGATCTGGAAGCAACACGGCATTCCAGTGAAGCCCGAGTTCAAACAGCGCAATGTGTTCCGCTATGGCAACGGACAGCAGGAGATCAGTGAGACCATGATTGATATGCCCATCTTCCTGGCCAGCAAGCCAGGATACGTTCGCGCGGCTATTGTCCAGGGAGCCGCCCCATTGTTGTTGAGCCGACCATCCATGAAAAAGCTGAAGGTACACATGAATTTTGCTGAGGACAGCATTCAGCTTTTCGATTCCCAGGTGCCTGTGCCCATGGAAGTCAACTCCGCAGGTCAGTATCAATCAAGGTCGTGGATTTTCCTGAAGGGGCGAACAAGCTCTTTGCACAAGCTCCTGAGTCGCCGGACGAAGCGACTCCATGCCTCTCGGTGGAATATAATCGACAAGATAAGAAGCTCAAGGATTTTTGGGAATTACGGCCCATGGACAGAGTTGTAGTAAGACACCATAGGAAACCCCGGAATAAAATGTTCACACCTGCCAACACACAGTGTCCGATTCCCGTGAGCTCGCTCGAACCAAGCAGAACAACCTACATGACATATGACAAGGGTCCCAACCAGAATAAGACCGACCAATGGACTGATCATCTGGAGGCACATGCAGCAACCTCCGAGCAGCTGTGGACCGGCCGAACGGTCTTTCGTTTGACTCCCGAATCGTCAATCCCGGCCATCGCTCTTGCTCAGGCGGATCAGGAGAAGATGCGAGTCATGGAGTTCACAGCCCGCCAGCATAGACAGCTGCTGGCTCAGGCTCGACCGTCAACCAATCCGCAGCAGTCGAAGCATGAGCAATATGACATAGTCGAAGTGTTTTCACCACCTCGTTTTGCACTAGAAGGCTGTAAGCTAGGCTATAATGTGCTGTCGGCCGATTTGTGTACCGGATGGGATTTTCGGAAACGTGAGCAGAGGGAAAACATCATCGCTCGAGACAAACCGAAGCTTCTTGTGTGCTGCCCGCCATGTACGTGGGCGGGAGGCTGGTGGCATTTGAACAAGCTCAACATGTCCAAACATGGACCCGTCTGTTCGTGAACTTTTGTTGTGAGCTCATGCAACTTCAGTTGAAGCAAGGCGGTAGGTTTCTGTTCGAACATCCTAGGGACTCTGTTGCTTGGAGCTTGTCATCAATGGTGGAGCTTCGTAAGCAATGTCCCAGTGTCCACCGACGTGTGTTGTTATGGCCTACGGGTGCCAGGTGGCAATCTCATCCGCAAAGCTACGACTTTGCTGATTTCGCATGCCGATATGCTGAAGCTAGGTAGGAAGTGCCCTGGTCACCATCATCCGGAACATAGACAGCACCAGAGCATTGCTGGCCAATGGCCTCAGATAGGATCTATCAGCAAACACGCTGGCAAATATACCCCTGCCTTTGTTAAAGCAGTCCTTCGACATGTGACAGAATTGCCAACTACTGAGACACTCGTGGTGGTGGATGACCAGAGCAAGGAATGCTTGGTAGCTCATTCGCTTGAGGAACTGAATGCTGAGTCTGGAGAAGGCGTTCGACAGAGCCTTCGTCGTTTACACAATAGTTTAGGTCATCCAACAAACCAGCAGCTCGTCAGAGTCCTCAAACATGGTGGAGCGTCCGAAGCCGCACTGACGGCTGCACGTTCGTTCTCATGCGATCAATGCCAAGCCCAGAGACAGCCAAAAGAGGCTATGCCTGCACAGGTAAACAGAGTCACTGAGTTTAATGCCCTGGTCGGTGTCGATGTAAAATACTTGCAAGGTTGGGAAGGTAACAAAAGGATCCCCGCGGTGAATATGGTGGATTATGCTAGTTCCTTGCAGGTCATGGTCCCAATTTTCCAGAAAGAGACTGCAGAAACCCTCCGTCATGTGTTCATGGAACGTTGGGTCTCGTGGGCTGGTATGCCGCTAGAGATCATTCTAGATCCCGCTCGTGCAAACATGTCGGACGCCTTCACTACCCTGCTTGAGTTGGGTGGCGCCACATTTAAGCTCACTGCGGCAGACGCCCATTGGCAGTTGGGGAAATGTGAGGTCCATGGAGGCTGGTTCAACCGGGTCCTAGAAAAGGTGTTGTCAGAACAGGTTCCCAAAACTCAAGCAGAATGGTTGGAATGTGTCCATGCAGCTCATTGTAAAAACCAGCTGATTCAAGTGTATGGCATGACACCCTCTCAATTCGTGTTTGGAAAGAATCCTCGAATCCCCGAGAATTTGATGGATGAACCCCTCAATGTGATTCCTGCAACTGCGTCCTTGTACGAAGAGGCTGTAGCTCGACAGGTAGCCGTTCGCCAGTCAGCGCGGAAAGCTGTGCTTGAGTTGCAGGACTCGAAATCTCTTCGACTCGCTCTGGCAGCTCGCCCGAGGGTATCCCGAGCCGGGTGCATATGTTGCCTACTGGTGATCCCAGAAATGGATCCATGGCCAATTGGAGAAGACGGGCCGCTGGTCTGGCCCAGGTCCTAGGTCATGTGGGTAGGAACCTGGTGATCATTCACAAGAGACGGATCTTCCGTTGTGCCCCCGAACAAGTCCGTGCTTCGATTCGACAGAAGATGAGTTGAAATTGGTAGAAACCCCCCAAATGGAACTGTTAGGTATCAAGCACTTGATTGAATCAGGTCAAATCAACAGTCGTCAGTTCATCGATCTCGTGCCAGAATCATACCCCCAGGAGGTGTCAGGTCAGCCTGAATCCTTGGCGGATCAGCCAATGCAAGGCATATCCGATCCTGAACAGCCAGGAGTCGTAGTGGGTGAAGGTCCTAGACCACTAAGCCATGGTCATGTCCAGGAAAAATCAGGGGACGCCAGGAGCTCTCAGGATCCCTGGAAACCAGAAGTAGGACTAGGTCTTCCATCCCACATGAAAGACAAGGCCTCGGAGTTTCTAGAGCCACAACTGTCAGCTGAGAACAAGCCAGCCCCTAGTCCAGAGAACTCCAGTAAGCCTGTACCGGCCCAGCCGGATCAACCACAGTATGGCCCTGTTCGTCGTAGGGTCACCCAAAAGGACGGTCCCATGGCACTCTATCGACCTGACCGTATGGTCCAAGAAGACTTCCAAGATATGATGCAAGAGATCGTCCCGGAACTGATAAAGCGGGTCATGCAGCCAGAGTCAGCCGACGTCGATGCACCCATGGAGAACCGTGGGGTCAAGAGACCTTCGTCACCGAGTCCAGAACAGTCCGATCCACCAGAGAAGCGACCAAATGTGGATGACGAGTCTTTATTGCTTGAGCATGACACAACAAATCATGGGGTGACATTTGCTTGTGATGAAATCACCGTGCTGTCAGTCCAATCAGCCGAATATCCGGACGACCGCCTATCGCAGGAAGAGCTTTCCGACCTAGTGGACCGATTTTGTGCAGGTGAAACCTTTCAGGTTCTAGCCGCTGCGTACATGAAAAAGAAAGCTGCTAAGGAATTGGCCCCGGTTGGTAATCCCCCCGAGTTACAACGAAAGGTGGATGAAGCTAAGGTTCTTGAGTGGGGAACTATGACTATTACAGCTAAACATGCTGGTAGGGTGGCTTTTGGACCAGAAGCTGATGAAATTCGTAGGACACATCCGGACCGTATCATGGGTAGCCGTTTTGTTATCACCATCAAGCAAGAAGAGGATTCGGCTCCAAGGACAAAGGCAAGATGGTGTCTTCAGGGTCACCTTGACCCGGATTTGTCAGAAAAAGGTGATTTGCAAAGTCCAACCCTGGCTCAGGCAAGCCGGAACTTAGTGTTTCAGCTGCTCGCTTCCCATCGGTGGCAACTCGCTCTAGGCGACATAAAAGGAGCATTCCTCTCTTCAGGTGAACTCCCACAACGATATAGGCCGCTTTACGCCAGCCTTCCAAAAGGGGGTATCCCTGGGGTACCGGACGACGCACTGATTGAAGTGTTGGGTCATGTGTACGGACTGAACGATTCGCCGTCCGCATGGTTTCGTAAGCTGAGCGCAGAGTTGACCCGGGTCGGTTTCGAGAAATCCCAATTCGATTCTTGTCTCTTCTATTTCCGTGAAGGGAATAAGCTTCGTGGTATATATGGTGTTCATGTTGACGACTGTGTCACAGGGGGAGAAGGGGAAGCATACAATGCAGCTATCAATGAACTTCGTAGGACGTTCGAATTCCGAAAATGGCGCATTGGAGAAGGTGACTTCTGTGGATCCCAATACAAACAGTGTCCCGAAACCATGACTATCACCATGTCTCAGGAAAAATTCGCGCAGAAGGTTCGGCCGTTGCACTTGAGCCGGGAACGAGCACGGAATCGAAATGCTGAACTGACAGAAAAAGAAATCAGCTGTCTCCGTGCCATCAATGGCAGCCTCAACTGGTTGGCAAACCAATCTCGACCTGATGTTGCAACCCAGGTATCGTTTGCACAGCAGTCCTTTCCTAGACCCACGATAGGAGATGCAATAGCAGCCAACCATGCAGTACGTAGGGCTAAGCAACATGCTGATCAAGTCATCACGTTCAGTGCAATCCCCATCGAATCACTCAGCCTCATGTGTCATTCTGACGCAGCTTTTGGAAATGCTAAAGCTGGTGCCACGCAAGCCGGATACATCATTAGCTTTGTGGATAAGGGGGTAAATGAGGGTCATGATAGCAAATGGAGTCCATGTTTTTGGAAAAGCTTTCGATTGCCGAGAGTGGTGAGCTCAACCATGAGCGCCGAAGCACAGAGCATGTCTGTGGCTTCCAGTATGCTCGAGTGGACATCACTTTTGCTTTCCGAGGCCTTGGACGGCCCCAGAGTTTCTCAGACCCTTTGGTCAGGGTTAGGGAACAGGTTGATTTTGCTAGTGACCGACTGTAAGTCCTTATATGACCACCTACTATCCCAGTCATCTCCGACACTCGATGATAGAAGGACTTCAATAGATATCATAATCCTCCGTGAAAGCATCACTCGACTTAAGGCTCAGGTGAGGTGGATTCCAACAGATCGCATGCTCGCTGACGCCCTGACTAAGGAGAGTCCAGAAGCTTTTGATTTGCTAAGGTCTTGCACCAGAGCGACCTCGTATCAGATCAGCCCCGAAGGTCTAGTGCTCGAACGCCGTGCTGCTGAGAAGGACCGGAGAAAACAGGTTGCAGCAAGGCATGATCAGCAGTCTGATCCCGTCCCAGAGTGACGGGTGGTAATGTGTTTCACTAAGTTGAGATAATGAGCATCGACTTCCGTAGGATAGACATGCATGGGAGTTAAGTGTGAGCACTTAAATCAATGCTAGGCATTGCGCGTTGCATGTTTCATTGGAAGTGGATCAATCAAAAAGAATAGAAACCTGTTCGCTTGAAGAGTCCCTGCACCATGACTTCCGGAGAAGTCAGTTGAACACAGCTGAGGAGTTGTGTCTATTATGTTTTTGTTTGTGCATTCGTGTCTTTCAGCAAAAGCCGTTTTTGCCGATATGAATTTGGCTTGAAGTGAGATCGTGAAGCGTTTTTCCGTTTTTGAGTGTGAACACTCATCCGTGCTTTCAGCGTGTGCAAAGATGGCTAACTCAAAGCCCGTCATGACCACTGGCGAAATGGACGAATGTGTTCGGTTGATGCTCAAGGCTCGTAGCTCTGGCCTCTGTTGACGCAGAGGATCACCGATATCGAAGACATGAAGGCCGACATGGCTTGGAGCGGTTCGAATGCTGGAACCATGGCAGATGGCTCAAAGCGCCTTCGTGAAGATCGTGTGGAGAAAGCCAATGACATGACCTACTGGTCACCTGTGGAGCCAATGTTGCCTCCTCCGCTGCCATCGGCCGCCGCATCCGCCGGATTGGGATATCCGGTGCAGAGTTTGTTCCCTGAAGGGATCAAGTCCATTGAGCAGTGGGGAGCTACGCTCTTCGCATTCGGGAAATTTAAAGATTCCAAGTGCTACGAAGAAGTGGCGAATAGCTCCCAGGCTGAGATGGTCAGCTACCGCGCATACTGCACCTCTCACTATGCCAACGGCTCGGCAGGGCTGAAGGATTTTGTATCCTACCTCCGTGCGTGCAATATGGGAGAGACTTCCGAGATGACGATCCCAGGATCCCATTTGCCGAGGGTCTTCAAGAAGAAGACATAGGAGTGTTGAATCGTGACCGTGCGCAGGGACATTTATGCCCAGGAGAAAATGGACCGGCGCGGGGCGTCGGTATCGTGCTGCCAACAATAGTATATATTGTACATACAGTCTTTTAGAAAAACAACCGAGCCTCCGATTCGGAAAGTTTGGCATGGCTTACATGAGTTTGTTTTTCTATCCTGACCCTGTTTGGGCGTCAGTGAAATGATTATGTAGAATGGGGCAGGTTGATTGAGGAATCAACCTCCGCTTCGTCAGATTGAAACACGTGCCCGAGAACTTTGTCCTACAGGAATCCGGTATGATACGCTCTTTGCCAAGGTTGTATTGCAACACCGGGAAGTCTGATGAATGTGTAGTGAAGACTTGCCACTGTGATTGGCGGAGGCCATGCAGCAATGTCCTTTTTGAGCTTTGCGTCATGATCTTGGCACTTGTTGCAGCTTGCCTAGCTGTCACATTGCTAGCTCAAATTAAGAAGCAAAAACAGTCTCAAACTAGCTCTGGACATGCTGCAAGGGCAGTGATTGTTGTTTTCTTTTACGATCGGCCTTCAGTGCAGTTCCAGCATGTTCCAGATCTCCCCTCGCAGCCACCAGGTGATAAATGCTGATAAAGGTGCCATCGATGTTGCCACATTATGCACCCGGATTGAGCAGGCGCTTGTTCTATCTTGAAGCCATTGCTTTGTCTATGTCACAGTCTGACAGTGTGCTTCAGGCAGTTGCGCGCGGAAACCGTGTTCTGGCGAGCAGGGCCATGCTTTTTCAAGACAAAGCAGATTTGCCCGCACCTGAGACTTTTTTCCAATTTAGGTTCATTGCATGCAAGGATGAGATAGGAGATGACAGAACCAATGTGAACCATTTGTGCTGTGCAAAATGCTGGGGGTATTGTTTGCCTGCTCATTTGGAGCAGGCTCGATAGGCAGTGCCAGTGATGGCCCCTCCGAAAGCTTTGGGTGTTTAGCCACATGCAGAGGCTCGGAGGAAGGTTCGGGGCAGGTTCTGGAGGAGGGTCTTAGAGTTGGATCTCATTCTAAGTGACCAAATGGCTTAGAATCGCAAGACGATGGCCCGCATAACTCCGCGCAACTCCCGACACTTGATCCCAAAACCAGCCTGGAAAGAGCACGACGGGGAATGGACAGAAAGTAAGAGGCACTCTGGGAAAAGGCCTGGGGGGCGCACTTTGGCGGATTTCTTGAAAGCCTTACCTAATGATCCTGAATGCTTGTGGACTGGACATAGATGGCACGCCCAAAAATGAACAGTGAAATGTGCAAATTGCAACAAGTGTGTGAAATTCCGTCAATCATGGAAGGAGGTGACCCCGATTGTCCTTACACCGTGTCCAGCGGTGAAAATGCCACTGCAGACGACGACAGGCTTTCTCGCATACCACATAGGCCAGCTCGCCGGAAATTAGCTGAGCAAGTCGTTGCAGAAATGAGTCGGCTATCGCATGAACGACCAGAACAGCATGCTGCGTGCATAGAAGGCGATATGTTAATATGTAGGACATGTGATCGCCGGTGGTCTGCGCAGGCCCCGTGCAAAGTTTTGCGCCAACTAGGAGGTGAGAAACGCGGAGCTCAACATAGCTTGTCGGCTTATTTTGCAAAAAACCTTGAGCTCATGTGACATGTGTGTAGGCACACTTGACTTTGCTTGCTCTGGATGGTCATTTTGAGGTGACTAAGACCCACCAGTGGCCTCCCTTTCGTGCAAGCATTCATCAGGAGCACAAGGATGCGTAGAAAGTGAGCGCAAAAAGTAAGAGGCACTAAGGTGCCTTTAGTTCAACTTGCCGGCTTGGAGCCAGCCAAGACAAGTCCTGAAGCTGAAGCTTGCTCTTGTTGGGCGAGAGTACAAAGAATTTAATTTGCCAGTTCAGGGTCCATCTTCCAGCTTAGCAAGATGTGTGTACCATAAATTAGTCACGAGGTGGCGGCGAGGCGGGCTTGGAAACTCGGAAGGGGAAATGACAGCGCCTGCCTCTCTCCAAGGTTTCCAAACTGTGACTTCATCGTCGGGTACGACACCTACAGGCAGCGTTTGTGGACCTTTGCGGAGCGCTTATAGAGCTCCTTGTAGCTCGATGGGGCTTGGAGCTGATAGTAGGAGACTGAGAGTGTATAAATATAATTACACGAAAAGCGCCCATTTCTCTTGCATGTTCTAGTCAAATCACTCAAGACCTGATGAAGACGGACAGACAAACATAGATAGAATGCAAAGGTTGGAGTAATTGTGCACATGTTTGCGCCAGGTAGAGCTATAGTTAAAATTTCAATATTTTGTGAGCTGGCCTGGGAAGACTATGTCCATGCGCGCACGGCGCAACTTTCCTGGTCCCGGTGGGGGAGAGCGACCTTTGGGGTGGCTGAATGCAATACCTTTGGTAATTATTCGAAGTGGTTCGTGCTCCACGAACCAACTGTCGTTGACAATTTTGAGACTACGGTTCAGCCTTCAGGGTATATGAAGCGCTCCAAGCTGCGAAAACATTCTAAAGCAATCGCTTGATGAGAAAAGAAAGAGAGAGAGAGAGAGAACCCGAAAGAAGACCGGTTCGATAGGTCGCCACCGAAAGTAGTTGATTTGAAACAAAAGGTGTTCTCCGGATGCACCCATGACCACAGCCTCTCAAAAGTATGGTGCCCTACGAGAGGTTCTTCGCACAACCGGGCCTTGGAAACCCAAGCTCTCAGTGCCTTGGTGGGGAACTGCCTCTTGTGGGCCGCCCCGGCCTGGCACTACTCCAACACCTCGTCGACAAACCCAACGCTTTCCATGTCACTATGACCAGGCGTGTGCGTAAGCTTGGGAGACATTACGGCGAGCCTTGGTTAGACATTGACATTCTTACCCGGCACCTTGCCAAGCACATCCTCTGGGAACATGGATTTGACCTCTGGGGCATCACCTATCTCAAGCGACATTGCCCAGCCACCAATGTCCTGCAGATCATTGACTTAGAATGGTGGCATTCCGACAGGCACCGAGTCCAACATCCTGGACACTTCCCTCATACCGGCCTCGGCACGGTCTTAGACACATATGTCCGCCTGCTCTACACCTGCCACAGGAAACATCTGGCACAAGACCGACAGACTTGGGAGAGTATGGTGCCTCGTTGGGTTGCTTTCGCCCCCTAGTCAAGTGAGAGCTACATCTGGCAGCATTCCGCCTAGGGCCTGGCTTCTTACACATTTTGCGGATGCCTGCACAGTCCTTTTTGTCTACGACAGTCGCAGTTGGGCGTCTTTGCGGGATGAGTCATGCCGGGCAGAGAGAGAGAGAGAGAATGAAACACATTGTGTTCCCAAACATCGCGGTTTCGGTGCAGCCACAACCACATTATACACTCACAGCCTCTTTCAGCGTGACAACATAGTGCAAATGCTGTGGGAAGGTCTTAGCAATGAGAGTTGCTAGATCCTGGTGTGCTCGGTCCGCAAAATACGCATAAACTTACGCATCCGTTTAGGTGTGGGGCTGCACCGCCCAGCTGGGTGCGCTTGTCTTGTAATGTGAGATCTCGTGATGTCATGCAGTTTTTTTCCCGAATGCGTAGCGAAGGGTTCCCGTTTATAGTTGGGGGTCTGGGGGTTGGAGCTGTGTTTGCATGCATGGCTTGCGTCGTGTCGTCGTCTCTCGTCGTCTGTCGTCGTCTGTCGTCGTCTCTCGTCGTCTCTCGTCGTTTGTCGTCGTCGTCGCGTCTCAAATTCGCTGCCATTGGGGGAAGCTTTTGCAAGTGACCTTTCATGGACGTGTCACGTGTCAGTTTGCGCCGCTATTGCATTGTTATTTGCATGACAATGACATGTCGCGCAAGAAACGTGATGCATTTCGCTGCACAGGCGCAGCGTTATGTGAGATCCGCAGTTTGCTGCGCAGTTCCATTGGGATTAGCGTTTGGAGAGTCGTGTTTTTGGGGTGTTGGATGTGGCCGTGCCATTGGGGTTTGCGTCTCAGGGTGTTGCATCGAAGCTCGGCTTTCGTGACAAGTCTCAGCTGAAATGGCGATTTTGGTGGATGGGAGTGTGCTCAGAACGGGTCGAAATCATTCCAAACGTGTGGTGCGGTGCAAATTTTGTTGACGCTCACATGAGATGATATTGTCACTTTTCGTGGCAGGCGCAGGACTTTGTGCGGGTTTTGAGGCGTGGAAGTGCGATTCTCGTGGCAGGCGCAGGGAATCGTGAGGTTGCGAGGTGTGACGGAGGTGACATTTCGTGGCAGGCGCAGTACTTTGTGCGCGTTAGATGTGTGGGCGCGGAAAGATTCGTGGCAGGTGCAGGGAATCGTGAGGTTGTGAGTGATGTGAATGTCGCTGTGTGCTCCGATGGGTGTTTCCGCTTGACTTCTGGAGGAAGTCTCGTGCGAAACGCTCGTTTTGCAGACTTTGACGTGTGAGTTTTTGAGGAAGTCTCGTACGAAACGCTCGTTTTGGAGACTTGATGTGTGACTTTTTGAGGAAGTCTCGTACGAAACGCTCGTTTTGGAGACTTGACGTGTGACTTTTGGAGGAAGTCTCGTACGAAATGCTCGTTTTTGAGACTTGACGTGTGACTTTTGGAGGAAGTCTCGAACGAAATGCTCGTTTTTGAGACTTGACGCGTAACTTTTGGAGGGACTTCTGGAGGAAGTCTCGTACGCCCTACAAGAGTGTCCCACAAGAGTGTCCTACAAGAGTATCCCACAAGAGTGTCCTACAAGAGTGTCCCACAAGAGTGTCCCACAAGAGTGTCCCACAAGAGTGTCCTACAAGAGTGTCCCGTATGAGTGTCTTAGAAGAGTGTCCCACAAGAGTGTCCCGCAACAGTGTCCCACAAGAGTGTCTCACAAGAGTGTCCCTTAAGAGTGTCCCACAAGAGTGTCCCAAAAGAGTGTCCTACAAGAGTGTCATTTGGACATATGTAGCTTTTCGAACGTGTTTGCATTCGGGTTCGTGGGCTCCATCTTGTTTTTTTCCCATGGGGTGGATTGAACTGGTTCAGGCGGGTGCTACACCCCAAGTACTATGCTCCACCTGGTTGGGGCCCTGCAGGCTTTCAGATTTCAAGCATGCCAGCGATGTTTTGTTTCTTGGCTTTCTGTTATTTTTACTTGGTCGCCGCCTCCCAGGTAGCAGCGAAAGAAGCTCAGCTGAAGAGCCACCAGCTTACTTTCAACTACCTTAGCCAAGCGAACATTTTGACATTCACTTCTGGCATCTCCTGGCAATATGACAGGGAGATTGCTGTTGGATGCGCTTCATTTTAAACCCTGCAGCATTTTGGCCGGGGTGCTAGTTCATATAGCATGCTTTGGCCGGGCGCAATGGAATGTCGGGATGTGAACATCTCTGCACTGAAGCAATACCAAGACAGTGGATGCCGGGACACTGTGCTTGAAGCGCTGGAGCAGATTGACTTTCCAGCAAGTCGGAGGAGCAATGTTAGTCGCCGAGATGAATCTGGTGAGGTCCTTGGAATGTGTTTGGGGATGACAGAGTGCTGGGTCAAAGGTCCAATGCCCTCCCGACAAACCCGGGTACGGCCCAACCTTTGCCGGCTTTTATGCGCCTTTGCAGCGCATGAACTCCCTGGGTTTTGCTTCACATCAATTCAAGTGAACAAAGACTACGCTGCTGAGCTGCACGTGGACAAAAAGGATGCAGGTGACTCCCGCATCATTGGCCTTGGCTCCTACACCGGAGGGCAGCTTTGGGTAGATGATGGCACCCATGGAGGTTTAGGACGAGTGGCTGATGTCAAAGGTCAGTGGGTGGGCTTTGATGGAAATTTGCCTCACAAGGTCCTACCATTTAAAGGCAGACGATACACATTGGTTTTTTTCCAAAGTCCGTGGCTGGAGTGTTGGATTGAAAGACTGCGTGCATGCCAAACTACTTCGTGACCTGGGGTTTCCATTGCCTGTGAAGCAGCCTCGCTTGAACAACCTCAAGCCAAGCTCCATTTTGCTTCAACGTGCTTCAAGTAGGTATGAGGTGTTTTGCTCAAATACTCTTGGCAGGGGAGGTGCAGGCAAGACGGTGAAGTTGGAGCTGGATTTGAATAATTTCACTTCGTCTTCGGAGCTGGCAGTAGCAAAAATGTCCAGTGCCTCAAACATTAAGTCGTTGAGGGATGCATTACACGAGTCACCAATGGCGATTCCTTTCACAGGAAGCTGTGAGGTGAAGATCGCAACTCTGCCGCTGCTCCCTTCTGACTGCCTAGCGCGCTTGGGCGTGTCCAAGCGAACGCTATGCCAGGTGAAACTGGAGGGTCAGAAACGGCGGCGGACGAATGAAGAGGATTGTGCCTGATACTGGCCATGAGAGGAGCAGAAACTATGTCACAATGTATATAGGCTGAGGCAGTTTGAGCCAATGCAGGCGATGCGCCCAAGGTTTGCAGCTGATCCCACTGTGTGTGAAGAATTGAAGGCCAAATGTGTCTCCATTGGCATCATATTGTGACACGGAAAAAGGTGCTTCAGCATAGCTTCACAGCGGTTTGGTTACCCTTTTGGACTTTGCTGCGATTCAATATTGTTTGTGGAATTAGGCAGGCAGCTTGGGTTCTCGAAGCACTGCGGCGACTGCAAAGTCAGGGCTTCCAGAAATGGTTCCATTGGTTGTGGGAATCAGGGATTCGTGAAGTTTCATGCATTCAGCTTGCCAAAAAACATCGCTTTGACTGATTTGAAAGATCGTCTCAAGCCGCTCAAGCCTTTGAGGCAGACAGATTCGCTTTGTTGTGGCTGGGCGTTTTGATCTTAGTATATTGCAATGAGTGCTGTCGACGAAAACCATGTTTGAGGAGCAACGAACATATGTCGACACGCTCCAGCTTTTGGTTCAAGGGCAACCTTACCCCCCTGTCACCCCAATGTGGGTGGCAGGGGGAGTGAACCGCGAAGCTTGGCATGGCTTCAAGTTCCGTCAGGGGATGCTGCTCGAGGGAGCCATCCGCGACGATGACGGAAAGGCCCAAGGGACGGTGATCCTCGAGGTGTTGGACAGCCTCAGCACCGATGCCAAAGGGCATTGGATCCATGGGCGCTACGTGGCGGCTAGTGACCCGCATATGCGGTGGTGGATGTCAGAGGGAGCCGGGAAAGGGCTCGCCAAGAAGTGCGCCTACCACTGCTGTGAGGTCCCGAGCATCGATTGCCCAGTGAGTCGCCGAGGGGCCGCCATTCACCTCGAGCGATTCAGAGCGCTCACCCAGAAGGAGATTGACAGAAAAGTGCCGTCATGGGCCTTCGAGAAAGAAGCGGGAGGGTCCTTTCTGAAGTACCTGAAAGGGCGCAAGATGGAGCCCGAGAAAGAAGAAGCGCCCGCGAGGACAGTGAAGAGGAAGGGAGCGAGTCTGGTGAGGACAGCTCAGGAGATAAAGGGCTGCGGGCCAAGCTCCTCAAAGCCAAGCATGAAGTTGGAAAGTTGGAAAAGGAGCTTCTGGCAATGAAGAGCCTCAAGAAGGCCGCCAAGAAGAAGCTAAAGAAAAAGAAGCCAAAGAAGGCTCATGACAAGGAAGAAAAGGAGGCCCACGCCTCGGAGGAAAAGACGGGCGGCAAGAAGTCCAAGGAGAAGAGGCGGAAGCCTTCACCCTCCTCAGGAGGTGTAAAGAAGAAGAGGAAGACCACTGGCTCCAGCAAGAAGAAGGAAGCCAAGGAGGCCAAGGACAAGAGGAAGACCATGTCTGATACCTCCAGTGAAGAAGACTTGGAGTCGGGAGAAGGGCTCTTCGGGGCCGACCCAGTCAAGGGAAGGCCTGCGTCTGGGGCCAACACGCGGAAGGACCGTGGTCCGTTTGGAGGCGGAGACATCGTGAGGTATCGGGGGGAGTCCAGCAGTGAGTCAGAGGGAGTTTTTCGCGAAGCCCCCACAGCTCCAAAGGCATCGAATCAGCTCAAGCTGATTCAGTATTCGAAGAAGACGCCGGGCCGTCTCGCATCAAGGCTGTTGCTGAAGATGCAGACCGAGGGGGCCCTAGGAGCTGTGGGGGCGAGCCCCGCCGAAGTCGGCGAGATGATTCCCCCGGCCGCGGTGCATTATTTCCACACCATGATCGTACCTCAGCTGGGGCAGAAGCTCACCTTTCGGGCGCACAGGGAGCTCAGGACACTTTGCACAGTCCTGGACCTTCTAGCAAGGAAGCAGCCCGCCCATGCGGCAGATCTGGTGGGCCAGAGAGTGAAAGCAATAGAGAAGAGCTGCCACGACGGTCACTGGGCAGCAGCCCAGTACCTCGAGCTGCTGGGCCCCGACGGGGGCCGTCTCCTGGAGCGGGACGAGGAAGCGTTCATGAACAGGGAGCATCTCCTCGACCTCAAGCTGAAGGGGTGGCAGCCTCCGAGAGGGGACAAAGACGGAAAAGGTCACCGGGAGAAAGGAGGAAAGAAAGGGAAGGACAAGGGAAAAGGAAAAGGAGAAAGCAAAGACAAGGACAAGAAGGACTAGTAGCAGAGGAGAAGAAAGAAGCTTCACCGGAGCCGAAGGGCTCTGAGAGTTTGGACTGGAAGGCATTCCTGGGAGAAAGGAGGTCACCGGTCGACGTCCTAGCGGGTCTGTGGGACATGATGCTTGCAAAAGACACGCCATGTTGTCGCCTAGCGCAAAGTTCTGTTGCCAAAGGGGTGCCTCCCGAGGGTTCTTCCTCAAAGAATCTGCGGGGCGACGACCTGCTTCCCATCAGTCCTGTCGCGGTCGAGCGGTACCTCAAGGAGAAACACCCCAGGATTGCCCGAGGAGTGACCTGCATGGTGAACGCCTTGAACTTCTTGGCAAGGGCCCAAGCCCACGGAGGCTGGACGAACCTGGAGTTTCCCAAGGAGCTCACAAGGGCTCAGAAACTTACTGTGGAGCACCTGTGCAGAGCCCTGTGCTATGTCGAGGCTTCGGGGTTGAAGTGTGAGGCCTTTGAGGATGCAGCCCAAAAGTTGGCGGCAGCTCGGTTTGACTACCAGGGCGAGCCGGTGATGCCCATGGAAGACATCGTAGCCGAGAGAGTGATTGCTGCCTGGCCAAAAGTGGGCCAAGCAGCGGTGCGGGAAGCTGTGGAGTTTCTCCCGGACCCCCTCCGACGCAAGCTGTGTGATCCGGAGTCTGAAGCCAGCGCAAGATTGGCCAGTCAAGCCCCCACACTCGAAGGTGAGAGCCTCGGATGAGGAGTGGGCAAAAGTGGTTCGGGCTGCCTACAAAAAAGGGCTCATGGTGGCTGTAGAGCAAGATGAGGTCTTCAAGGATAAGGATGGTCACCCGGTGCTTAATGGTGCCGGAGCAGTGAAGAAGGAAAAGAAGGTGGATGGAGTTGTCCATAGGGTGCAGCGCTTCATCAGCAACCTGATCCCAGCCAACTTTTACCAAGAGCGGATTGATGGTGATGACAAGCTGCTGCCGTACCTGGGCCAGCTGACCCTCCTGGAACAAGAAGAGGAGGAGGTGTGGCTGATTGATTCGGAAGACTTCACCAGCTGCTTTAACCTCTTCCGGCTGCCCCAGTGCTGGCACAAGTACATGGCGTTTGGAAAGGCTGTTGACGCCTCCCTCCTGGGTGGGGAGGCAGGAAAGATTGTCTACCCCGCCATGGCCGTGCTTCCTATGGGCTGGATCAGCAGTGTGGCGATCATCCAGAGCATTGTCAGGACATTAGTGTTCAAGGTGGCGGAGATCCCAGAGGCATCAGAAGTGGCTAAGACAAAACCCCTGCCAGAGGGAGGAGATCTGACAGTGATCTACTTGGACTCATACGACCAACTCCGAAAGTTCAACAAGAACTGTGCAGAGGTGCTGGAGGGTGTGCCGTCGGACAGACACGAAAGGTTCTTGGCCGCCTGCAGGGAATTGAAACTGCCACTGAACGAGGGTAAAAGGCTTGTGGCTACTGTGCATGGAGCCCTCCAAGGAGGCGAACTGGACGGAGATTTGGGCCGTTACGGGCTGGCACTGGATAAGACGCTGAACATCCTTACCCTTGGTTCCACCTTGTTGGCCAAGGAGAAGTGGACTGAAGCAGAGATTCGTCACTTTGTGGGGAAGGCTACATTCGGCTGCTGTTTCAGAAGACCCCTCTTTGCAGCGTTCGAATCGCTTTTCACGGAGATACAGGACAGAGCTGCAAACCAGGACAGAGCTGCGCCTCGGCCTGAGAGTTGGGATGAGGTTGCCATGGTTATGGCGCTGACTCCGCTCATGTATACGAATCTCAGGGCCCGCATCGACCAAGAGGTTTCAATCACGGATGCCTCGCCATCTGGGGGTGGAGCTGCCACGGCCGTCGAGTTCTGGGATGCACCGTGCACCAGTGGAGGTCCAACCCCCTTTTGACTGGTACTTCGGTGATGACATCTTCACTGATGAAGGAAAGGAAACGCTGAGGGACCTGATGAACGACCCATGTCTGGCTGTCGAACACTGGGCACCCGAATGCAAGCTCTTCAGCAGAGCCCGAGGACGGCCGATCAAGCTTCGCAACGGTCGCACGATTGCTGGCCCGCAGCCGGTCCGGGACGCTAACCACGTCATGGGCTATCCGTGGTTGTCGAGCGAAATGAAAGCTAGAGTCCGACAGTCTAACCAAATGGTGCTCAGGGCTCTCAAAAGAGGCAAGGAGGACCGGAGAGGAAAGAAGTGCTACTGGTCAGTGGAGCACCCACGACGCTCATGGATGTGGGAGTTTAAGCTCGTCAAAGACATGGAAGAATGGCCAGAAATGAATTACTCAGTGGGGTCCCATTGCTGCTTCGGCGGAGAGCGCGAAAAGTGGTTCGCAGTGCTCAGCGATCTCCCCACGCTGAGGTGGCACCTTTCCCGAGACTGCCCGGGCCATGAAGGTTTGAGGAGCTATGAAGTAGAAGAAATGCCAGACGGCACGCTGCGGTACCCCACGGAGGAGGAGGCTGAATACCCGTGGGAGATGTGTAAAGCTGTCAAGGAGCAGCTGGAGGCAGATGGACACTTCGATGCAGCTGTCTTGGAGGCTCGGCAAGCGCACTACTTGGAGGAGTTGGCCATGTCCACAGACAGGTTGGCGCATCCTGAAGTGGCAGGGCCAGTGGCTGGGCTGCTGGCATCAATGGAGCAGTCAGTGATGAAGGGGCAGGAGAAGGAGCACCTGCGCTACCTCCTCCGGCAAGCAACTTACCGAGGTTCAGATGTCCGACTGTCCCTCGAGCTGCCCGACGGGCAGGTGCATGAATTACCCTACCTGGCCATGAGGTGGAAGTGGCGCACCTCCATGGCCTATGCATGGCGGCAAGAAGCTCATATCAATGAACTTGAGCTCTTGGCAGTGGCTGTATTCCTCAAGCACAGAGCGCGGACTAGCACGAAGCAACACCAGAGGTTCTTCCACGTGCTGGATTCGATGGTTACCAGGGGCGTCCTGGCAAAGGGTCGCAGCAGTTCCAGGAGGCTCAATAGGGTGGCACGAAGGTGCAGTGCCTACCTTCTTGCGATGGACGACTACATCTTTCCGCTTTGGACCATCAGCGCATGGAACTTTGCGGACAAGCCAAGCCGAGCACATGAAGGGAAGTAAACGAGGCCTGAAGTTTGCAGGCCTGCGCCCACGCACCCTACGAGCCTACAGAACAGCCCTGGATAGATTTTTGAACCATGTCAAGCGCAGGAGGCTTGATATAGCAAAGCCACATCGCCTGGATCGCCAGTTGGCCGAATTCATTGACCTCTCCTATCAGGAGGGTGAACCCACGAGTTACTCAGGGCACCTTCTTTCCGCCATCAAAAGATTTCACCCAGAATTAAGGCTGGAGCTGCCCTGTTAGCCGTGGGCTTCAACGCTCTCCTTCGCACAGGCGAGCTGCTGGGGCTTACGCACCGACACCTGGTGATTCACGACCGGGGCCATGGCATGAGTGTGATCTTCCCTGGGAGCAAGACCTCACAAGGAAACCCTCAGGTGGTCCTGGTACAGGATCGGCAGCTGGTCAGCTTTGCTCGAAGCATTCGGGAACCTCGTCGCAAGGATTTGCTCTGGCCTGCTGGGCCCCGTCAGTTTCGCGTGCAGTTTGCCAAGATGCTGACAAAGCTGGGCTTTGCTCCGGATGACTACTCACCCTACAGCCTCCGCAGAGGGGGCGCCACGTGGTTCTTCCAGTCCTCCCTCAGCATGGATGCCACAGTGGCACGTGGGCGCTGGTCATGTAGCAAAACGGCCACGCAATACATCGACGAGGGCACTTCACAGCTTGCCCAGGTCTTCTTTACGCCTCTGCAGCGATCTCGGATCCGCCTGTGGAGGTTGGAGGGAATGCGGCTGCGCCAGGAAGGCAGGAAGTGGAAAAGACAGTGAGCCCTTCCTGTTGGACGCGGGCAGTGAGGCCTCTTGAGGCGACGCCATGTTCTCTTGAGAACATG